TTTCTGTTTTGATACTTCGTGTCACTGGCAATTGAATAAGAAAAACTGCAAATAACCGATGTGCAGCAAATCGAAATAAATTTTCATGGCGTACGCTGCATTTTTTTCCCCCAGATTTTGCGATGCCGCACTCCTGAAAGAACTGTTTGAAAATTGAACGCGCAACAGTAGCAAAGGCTTGAACACAGTAGCGTAAGTCTCAAGTGCAACTTTGTATCAACAAATGTTCGTCTTTTGATACTTATTAGCTGTCAGAGACACATATCAATTGTCCAGCCCAATGAAAAGTCTGATTCACGTCCTCTGCTCAATTTGCGACTCGAGCATAACAGTTTATCAAAACAAAACAATTTATTCGGCACGCTGTTCACCGATATATAAAAGAGTGTTTTTTTAGGCAAAGCACACAGTAAAATGACTACTGTACACCAATAAATCGACACATTTTAGAGACAACTATCTAGTCTTCAAAAAGCAATGTAAACTCTGCCAATCCTAAAAATAAACAACAGCTAGAATGAGGTGTGAATGAGATCGGTTCGAACCGCAGATTTTATGCAAATTCGTGCGGTCGTCCTGAACTGCACTGTCTATTGTTTAAACTTCCAAACCGCAAAACTGGGTTTTGTTCGGGCGATTTAGGGTGGTTTGGGTTTTTGTCGGTTTGACCCGCATGTTTGAATATGAGATCACCCCTTAGTGTTCGTCCCAGGCTGTTTATCTAGTTTCATTATGTATTGTACATGTATTACATATTTGACCCCTGTGAATTTCTGGCCAATTTTCTAACTCGCTTTATTTTCCACAGTCAAACTGTCACACGGTTACCATCGCATTCTGTGATGCTATTGGTCAATTCAACATGCATGTAGGACTTGCACAGAAAAAGATCTTCACTATATATCGCCATGGTTAGGAAAGTTGCATCCCTTTATCTTATAAATCCTTGGTTACATCAAATATACCAGTATGCACAAAATGAGGGACTTACTTATCTTTCATTGAACTGATTGATTTGCCTTGTTCTCTACGTTTTTTTTCTTTCTCTACCATCTCCTTTCTTTGTTGTTCTGCTTTTTCAGCTCTTCTTTGTTTCATTAATTCTTCAACTCTGCATCAATAAAGAAATATGGAGTAAATAATTTTTAAGTCCACGAAAAACTGTGAGAAAAAGCCAATTGATACGTGTATAACCTGCCCATTCACAATAATGCAATCAACAATAATGATCAGTGGTTATCTGTCAACCAGGGGGGCAAGATCCCTGAAAAGATGTCATAATAAAAAAAATATACCACTAATGGAATTTATGGTTTATAAACTTATATTGCAGATTACTTTTCATAAAGCATATATGGTATTTGATATACCTTATTTTCTGTGCTCTTTTTTCCTCTTCTGTCAAAGGTTTAATTTCTTCCGTTGATTCAGAAAAGTTCTGATGCCCGGTCCTTGCAGCATGAGCCTGGTAGAGAAAACCGTATCAAGCGTCAATTAAAATATAACCTTTGACCTCAACATGTTGAGCAATGTTGTCAGAGAATAATAGTACAGTGGATGCATGCATTAAAAATGTAATATTATTACCTGAACATCAAGCTCAGCTTTTAAAAGTTTTCCACAACTGTAAAAAATCAGGAAATTACATTAACTTCTTGATGTTACATAAAAATATGAATTTAACATGAATGAAGAGGTATAAATGCAAAAGGATGTTTTATTTGAATGACTACGTACTCTTCACATTTCAATGATTTAGGTTGACTTATTGTACTACCATCTTCAGTCGCTTGTGCTTCTTCCGAAGCTTCCTCTGAAAAATAAACAATAATATTTACATAAGTCACCTGACCAAGTCACATGATATTTATGCTAAGAGAAATTGCCATTACCCCTGGTATTAACAAAATAAATAAAAACAATAAAAAAAGTCAATGATGCGATTTTAATTAAGTTTATTGGTAATCTCATTCAGAACTACATACATACTAGGTTTTATTGTCCTATTATATTGTCACATATAATTGTCAACATTTTTTTTTCAGTTTTCTAGCAATTCAGCAAGAGCTGCTCAATTACAAGTACAAGCTTCATTTTGTATATCGGTTTCTCCAATTGGATTACTATCTGTTTCCTCGGCATGTAAATGCATCTATTCTACCAGTGTTCAGTGAACATTAAAACATCGGCTAATCAAGGGACCATTGCAACAGATGTATTTAGTAAATGAGAGTGACCTTTGACATATCAGTATCCAGAATTATTTTGAATAATAACTTGATAGAGCATTTATTCAGAGAGGATAATTTGTTAAAGGATAGATAAATTTAATACTCATTGGTGTACCAAAGTACACACATTGAAAGTTGCTGAAAAAAATTACTTCAAAATTTGGCCAAACTGTTGACAAAGAAATAGTTTGAAAATTAAGCAGGAAAAACATTTTCTTTTCTAATGCATATAACTTGTTGTACCAATGAGAATTAAATCGACACTATCGATTAATTTAGTTTTTTTTTTTTCAAATACTAGTATCTTAAAATGTTTCATCAAGCTGAATAAATTAAATGTGTCAATATTCAACAAAAATACCCTACCTGTTGAGGGCGCTGTTGCTACATCTCCAAGTGTATGACCTTTAGGTGCCTGGTATGGTTCATCAATGTCAGGATCTTCGTTGTGGGCGAAAAGCCTAAAAAACAGAATCACAAGAAATCAACCAAATATCATGTTGACAACAAAATTAGGCAGAGGTTTTTTAACCCGCCTATTCAATCAGTTCATACCCACCATAGACTGGTCAGTCAAAATGACTGTTTTGAACAGTAGGCATTAATCTGCCAATGACGGAAAGCGAAATCTAGGTCTGGAAAACCTCATGATCACATAGATTTTTTTCCACGTCATGCAAAACGTGATCGAGGCAAAGAAGGCTAAAACGGTAACAGAGTTCGGTATGCCCAAGAACGCTATACCCAAACCCAAATTCTGGGGTAACTAGCCTTCCAAAAAAAGCCAAAACAGTTCTGCATGAAGGCATAGGCCAAAAGCATGACCTGGAAACTTCAAAGAAGCGCTGACAGGAGAGATCTCTCTGCAAAAAAAAAACATGCTGCCGAGACTGCTCTATCGCCTATGCACAGGGATCCCTGTCGTCATCCTGGCTGGATCAATAACCAAAGTCTGACCTGCTATGACAGGACCCACCATAAAAAGACCCTCCTCAATGGATTGAGTATCTCATAGGTAGTAGTTGATAAAGATGTTTTGCGTTCTCCAGAAGCCTACCCTTAGAACATGCACAAGGGGGCACCTGATGCAAGAGCCAATGAGTTAGCGATTGCACAGACCTCATGTGCTTGGTGTCTCTGTAGACTCTGTGTCAAGGATGCCAGACGGTCTTAAAACCTCAAACACGGTCGCAGTGATCAACCTGGAAATGGAAGTCGGGGAGGCTGGTCTGTCCTGCTTACCCTGGCTGTAACACATAAACATGTGCTTATCACCATGCCTTGACTCCCTAGTAAGGTTGTCGTAGTAACTCAGTGCTTGAACCAGGCAAAGAACCAACTCCTCTTGATCCTCAGGGTTGACAATGTTGGCCAGACGAGGAATTGATTCTTGGCAAGAAACCTGATTCGTGTCTTTGTGTTCGCACAGCTTGATTGTCCATAAAGGTGTTGCACCCATCCGAGAAGGACAAGGCCCCTAGCACAGAACAACGCCTACCCAAGGCGAGAGCTAGTAGGTGCTTAGAGCGTACAACACAACCGAAAAGTCCCAATTGGGCGGTTCCTTCATTCGGGATCTAGGCCTCTGATTATGGAAAGCAGTAAACAGTCTCCTAATAATAGAAAGGCTAGCCTCGTCCCCAAAGAATTCTCAATGGTGGGTGACAAGGCTGACCTATAGCCAACGATCGCTTCATAGGACAAGCCCAGCCTGTCAAACAGATTGATGAAAAAATCAGTTACCCGGCCACAGAGGGATGGCATGGATCAATCTCCTTTCCACTACACCAATCAACGTACGCTTGCCACTTTGAGTCGTAGGCTGCCCAGAAACACCAAACTCTTTGAGTCGTAGGCTGCGTCGGTGGAATCCCCATTTGCCCTGGCCAGGATGTTGGCAGCCTGCTCATTGGTAGTGCGTCGTCCGGTTGGGACAGCTGATCCTGTAAGTCCGGTAGCACTACTGGTGTTTTGACTAACATTTCCAACAGTAGTGGAAACCAGGCCTTAGTTGGCCAGTTGGACACCACCAGCATCAAAATGCAGGTGTGCTCCTGTCGAAGTTTCTCCAGTACCCGGTGAATTAGTGGGAAGGGAGGAAGGGTGTACACGCCCATGTGGGTCCACGGGATCAATAAAGCATCCACGGCCCAAGCGCTTTGAGTTGGGATATCTGCCACTCCGCATTCTGAAGACTGAGTCACCGCGAAAAGGCATCCGCTTGACTGTTTCTCACCCAAGGAAGGTGGTGTGCGGTTAGCTCCACATTGAATCTAGGCACCAAAAGAGAATTTGCTCTGCTAGGATTGACAGCGATGGGGATCTGCCCCCCCCCCCCATCCTTGTTGATATAGGAGACCATGGCCGTGTTGTCAGTGTGAAGCAAGACTCTATGGACTTGAACTATGGGTAGAAAGTGTATCAGTGCTAAGTGCACTGCTTTCAGTTAGAGTCAATTGATATGGCGGTCCTGAACACAATGCAGGAGCCATATTCCTTGGGCTTGTTCGTCCAATAGGTGAGTTGCTCCCCAACTAGTGAGGGAGGCATCTGTTACCATAGCTGTGGCGAGTGGGTCCAGGGGGACCCCAAGCCTGAGGTGGGCAATAGCCGTCCACCAGGGCAAGGCATCCCTCGCTTGGTCCAAGAGAGTTACTTGCATCTCCAGTTCCTGTAAGTGTGCTGTACCAGGTGGCTGCGTAAAACGGCTTGGAGAACTACCCTGCAAACCGAGGTCATCATTACGATGATACGCATCAGTTCTCTGAGGGACACAGAGGGAACGCTGACTAGGTGTTCTTTGTACAAGGCAACGAGCCTGCAATGGCCATACCACGCCTGCCTCTGTGTCGAACTCCATGCCCAAAAACGCCAACCACTGTGTTGGTTGGGGATGGGACTTCTCTTGATTTATCTAGGAAGCCCAACTGGTGTAGTAAATCCTGTGTTAGCCTTACTTGTTTGGCTTGTTTGGGTTGTGGAGCAGTCAGTCGTCTAGGTATGGGTTGATGTGTACCGATGCCTGGTGCAGCAGCAGAACCACCTGTTTCAACACTCAGGTGAACACGTATGGGGCTGTGCATAACCATCCTGAATTGGAATACTTGTCCCAGATGGGCGAATCGGTATGTGCAGGTGGGCATCATTTAAGTCTAGCGAGGCTAACCAGTTGAAACGGTGCACATGTGAAACCGATCGAGAAGCACATACTGATTTAGTCCAGAACTGGACGCCAGCCACCTGTAGCCTTTGGGACTAGAACACTTTTGAGGAGAAGCCCAGACTTATCGCTGGATCCTCTATCTTGTGTATGGCGCCCTGCAAGCAAACTGTCCACCTCCTGTTGGATTGCTTCCACATTGCGGGGATTCCCTGGCAGTGCTCCTAATGCTCCCAACTGACAGGGGGGGTGGAGACTGCAGCGGTATTTTATAACCGTGTAACACCACCTGGAGAGTCCAGGGATCGGTTAACCACTGCCTCCAAGCCGAATGCACTGGTGCAATCTGTCTGTGACAGGGATATGTGGCCATGGGTTCGGCGGTTGTTTATTGGGGTGATCTCTCCTCCGCTGAAGTGAGTCCCCACAAAGCTGGTAGCAGTCAAAAAGTTCAGACTATGTCTCTCGTATGCCTGGTCGCACACTATATGGGGCTTTCCCATGGTCTAGGTTTCTACTATTTTGAAAGACTTTGAATTTGGTTTATATGCAGAATTTTTTGGATACATTTTCAGCAAAATCATTACCTACCGGTATTGTATATTGAACACTTACCAGTCCATAGCTACTTGAACTCCATTGTGATTTGTGACAGCCAAAGCTTTCTCCCTAAAACATTAAACATTGTAGTTTAAGTCAACAAATCACTGTCAATGACATAATACAACATTTTATCCAACAGCTTGAGCCTTCTCAGCCCATCAGAAATGATCACATGAGTTTGTTCAGCTCCAATAAATCCTTGGGGTTGAACTCCAATAGACATAGCCCCAGCATAGCCCCAGCCATTTAAACAAGACCCCCTCCCCAGGGCATCCATCTCATCTCTAAACAACCTGGTCAAACTTTGAACCATGTTTGTTCCCAACCATATAAACGCACAGAAGAAAATCTGTGACCTTCTACCTAAATAGGTCTCACTAAAATAAGTTAAAGCTTTGTGATCACATTTTCGTCATTGATTCAGGATTTATTGCTTTGTGAATTACCCTAACCCAATGTCATCTGCATATTATGCAAATAGATTAATTTCTCAATGGCTTAGTCTATTTATTCCACCAATATCAAGTTACATTGGCATCATTGGTTAGAAGTCTAATCTGTGCTATTTTGTGTTATTTTGCATTCTTGCTATTTTCAGAAACTGTTTTTAATTTCATAATATTTTTAATAAGCCTCCACACCCCTAACCTGAACCTTAACGCATCAGTCCCTCTTAATTTAATTGCCCCTCCAAAATAACTATACATGTCCTCAAAAATGGGCATATACAATTACACTTGGGGAGAGGCACTGAAGAGACAGGGTTAGGATTAAGGGGGTAAGGCTAATTGAAGAATCAAGAATCAAGAATCAACGAATCAAGAATCAACGAATCAGCGAGTCATGAATTGTGCAATAACTATTTTTAATGGCTATTTTATTTGCAAGAAATAGCGTTTTTTTGTTTTTCAAAAATTAAGAATCAGAATATCCAAGACGTGTCATTCATGCATGCTAGCCTCAGCTCTCACACTTAATGATTTACGTTGGTTTAATTCGAATTTAAAACTGTCAATTACAAAATGTTTTCCTTCACGGAATGCTCATAGTAGAGTAAGGCGTTGTGTCGTCACAGGAAGCGCTGTCCCAGCACAGACGCCGACCTGCAGCGTCAATGAGAGCAAGGGCACCGATCTGATGCATATCGCGCAAGGTGTGCCGGAAGTTTGTTCGAAATTTCGAACGTTTCGTAGTCAGTCGTCAGTTGGCACGTATTTCACAGAAATATTAAATCGTGCCATGGGCCTGTTTACTAAATAATGATAACTGAAACTCAGAAAACTGGGCCCAAATTGCGCAAATTTGCAATAAGTTTACGCTACTAGTGTCTGATTCGGAAGGCGTTCCATGCGTGATTGTATCGCGTTAAAGGATGTTCTATTTTCGAACTAGTTGAAACCAGAAATTACGCAAGTATTTTCGAACTTCAAAAACAATTTGATTATCGTTATTACCAAACGCTTCAGCGTGGTATTAAGAGTTTGTTTTCAGGGGTGGGTGATACCAAGGTGGGAAATGGATGCACATAAAGGGTTAATTCCTTGAATTGCAATATAGAGGGTTCAGGCCGAAATACAATATATAGTGTTTTCATGTTTCGTCTGATATTTCTGTGGTATTCTGCTGCTGTAAGTAATGCACGATTTGTTCCGAAATTCAGTATTTTGTGTGCATTCCAGGGTTATTCGTTTTTTGCTGAAAACACCCCTATTTTTTAATGGCAGAGTCGAATAGTCTCACTCCCACTGGGAAATCTGCATTGTTGCTTGAATGACCGGCGAAAGAGTATGCAACAGCCAATTTTAACAGCCTGTCACATGATTTTAGTCTGAATGTCAACAAGAAAAGAGGCTAGTCCATTATACGCAGGAGTAATTGGGAGTAGAATATGTGAGGGATAGTATTAACAGAGATGTGTATACTGGAAAGTAATAACTATCATACTTTTGCACTCTGAGCATTCCTGTTTTAGTATATTGGTTTGAAAATGTTGAACTTGCATGATTTGCAATGTGTTTTTTTTACTGAAACTCCCCTATTGATCGAATTCCGGGTTTGAACGAGAACGACATACCACGTGATTCATTTGAATACAATGCTGAGGGCATGCATGCCGTGCTACTGTGGTACTCCACTGACGGTATGACTTACTAGTACTGCATGCTACAACTTCGCTTCTGATGTTGCTTGCTAGCCTTGGATTGAATGAATCTTGATTACCGGTTAAAATGTTGCTCATTTGGCGTTGGTAATCTTTATTTGGAACTGGGTAACGCCGCAACGTCGCCAGCAGAAACCTCCTGGTACTTCGTACTATGATAAAACTCAGTCAACATACACCAAGTTCTGTCAATCGTAGTATTCCATGTGATGTACACCTAATATGCAAAAAATGTTGCTAAACTGGATAAAAATAGCAGACGAACATTTATTTACAAAATAAAAATACTTCGGTTGCCAATGAAAACAAGCCGGTAAAAAACAAGCAATATGTTTTCGGCTGTTACCATGGTAGGACATGAACGTGAAGCTAACGTCGGTTTATAACTAAAACCAGGCACCTTATACGAGGTTCGCAAAATAACATTCAGTCTTTAGAAGTCACTTTATTTTATTGCTAGGACGTATTCAGCCGTTAAATGTATTATTTCCAACCGTTTTGCGATAGTATTTTCTAAATTGGAGGCAGCATTTAGATTTTATTCAAAGTTCAATTGGGATTACGTTGACAGTGTAACAATGTCGGCGCCAGTGATCTCTTACCAGTGCGCAACGTAGCCAGAATAAAAGGCATGATCACTGCTATTACAAGACTGGTAGGAGGTAATAAATTTGGGGCAAAAGTATTCAAAAAACAGATTTTGGCTG